CTTAACTTGTCTGACACAAAGTTTCCAGATGCAGGTGCAGTTGGGTTATAGCTGAGGTAACACCTCGATCAATTTATATTACATGCACACATAGGACAACCCGAGTTAATAGGACAACCTGAATTAGTTTTACTGCAGAGTACCATCTGATATAACCCTCCTCATCGAATGCCAGTCTATATTTCATGTATTCATCCATCTGTATGCTGCAAGCTACAGTATTTACCTTTCAGCTATCAACTCATACCTTCAAAAGCTGACTCGCAAACACGGAGCTTCAAAGCTACACCTCATAACGAAATCTATTATTTCATACTGAGTTATATTTTGTTGTTAATGTAAAATATCCTAATAAATCAAAATGAAATCAATCGTTTGACAAAAAGCTGTTATGCACAATAATCGCAAATTCACCCCAACTTTCTCCCGTTATTGTATCTCGTGATCATGAAGCAGATGGTTAGAAATGACTCAGTCTGAACACTGAAGCCACATACATCATCCTCTCATTAACTGTCAGCATTGATGCTCTCAGAGCAGCTGGCACAGTTAAAGTCACCAAAACATTACCATATCCACATGATGCCTTAAAAGTGGCCAAGCAGGAAATCACAGAGTACTGTGGAGTACTCTTTAAGAAGCAGTGATAAACACCTGGAGCAAGCATTTGTATTTAAATAGATTAGCTTTATTATTCACTTGCAAATAAAAGCTTTGTGGTTACACCTTAACCTTTCTGCTGCCTTGTCTTGAATTTTGATGAGGAATAAAAAATGTGGAGCATCTTTTACCCTCTGATCTATTTTTAAGAAGTGTAGAAGAATTCCCACCTCTGGAGCTTTCTGTTTGATTCAGGGCAACATTACTCAGCTGTGTGTGTGACTCAGACAAGAAGAAGCTGCAGGAGAAAGAGGAAGTACTTGAAGTGAGGTCTCATGTTTCCTTTATCATACATGTGCATGAGTCTTTTGTTCCCTCCTGTCTTTTCCTGTTAAAATTTAGAAATGCACAGATCTGAAAGAAGCATATATCTCTTCAATACATACATGTTTAATTGATTGCACAGTGAATGCACCGTGAAACTCTTTGATTATTCTGAGGATGGTGCCGGTAGTGTAGTTCTCAAAGCTGGACAACAGTCAAGGTTTGCATAAAGACCAGATGGGGTTACAGTAGGTTCATTAGTGCTTTTATTGCTTTGACTCTGGAACAATGTGGTTCTCACGTTGTACCGTATGCTAGCAAGATAATGTCTGTACTTCTTAATTAGAGCTTGTGTGCAGCACATGAAAATCATACCACAAATGCCCTTTGAAAGAAGTCTTAATAACAACATCTTATAGCTACAATAACACTTTTGTGGGGATTGCATTAGCAGATGTTTTTGTCTGAAGTCATGGAAAATTTGTTTTTTGATATCATTCTTTTCAACAAACGCAACAAAACAAACAAAAAACTTTTTTAGTTAAACTTTTTTCTAAACAAAAACATTTAAAATATTGCATGTTTTTACGAACACTGTTTCTCAGGAGACCATAAGCCTAAAACTGGATAAGTGACTAAGAGAGGAGATGGATGGATGGATAGATGGAGTGATATGATTTAGTGATGTAGAACCATTCCAGAACAACGGGAAATCTGAGTGAATAAAATTACCCTAAATTAATGTGTTTTCCCAGTAAAATAAATTGACCAATTTTCCGATATCATCATGATGACTTTTATTTAAACAAATAAATAAATAAAACTTGATCCTTTTGTGTTTATGATCATTGAAAATTGAACTATTTGATGGCTTGCCAATGTATTACACAGGATGACTGGTCTCGAGAGGATGAATGCCAGTGACTCCTGGGGTTATACAGCACAATCACTAGTCTGAGTTGACATTTGTGCTTCAGAATGAAATGTCTATTTTGGTCTCTATTGGATGGATTACAATTCAATTTAAGGTGGACAGATATGGTCTCTGTTGGATTTGGTGACTATGTCACCCCTCCCACTGTCTCCGAGGTGGTCCTGGCCTACTCTTGATGATGACTGGTTGACAAGGGAGGGTTATAAGCCACTGCAGTGATCCTGGGGCTTCCAGGTTGTAAAAGCTGGCCTAGATGAATTGCTGTCTGTCTAGTTCACTCAACCTTTTTGGTGTTTGTGGTGGTTTATGTTTGATAAATTATCTTTTAATGAAAAATAACATCTTGTGTGGATTTGTTTATTTTCACACAAGATTTCACAGGACTTTGGAATCCTGTGAAAAACTAAGTACTCCACATAATACAATAACATGTAGAACCACTTGTAGCAATAACTTGAAGCCACTGCGTTACTTTATCAGTCTGTCACATTGTCGTGGAGGAGTTTTTTCTTTACAACATTACTTCAGTTCATGGAGGTTTGCAGGCATTTGTTTATGAACAGCTTTCTGAAAGTCCTGGCATTTCAATCAGCTGAAGTCTGCACTTTGATTGTGCCACTGCAGCACATTGAGTCTTTTCTCCTTCAGCTATTCTGCGTGTTTGGGATCATTGTCCCATTGCATGACACAGTTTCAGCTAAGCTTTAGGTGTTGGACAGATGGCCTCACATTTGACTCCAGCATATTTTGCTACTCATGGCAAAACATGTCATAGACACGCTGGTCCACCTCATTCAATTCACCCTTTACTAGCTTAATCGTTTCTGCTTTTTAAGGACTCTGGGATGCACTTTTTATGTTTTTTGCTCACTACCGACGTCTTGGCTTTAAATATATTACCTCTGTCTGCTGGTCTCTTCTAGATGCGTCTCCATTTCATGTTTTGGAGAGACAAAGTGTGAAATGGACACGAGGAACGGGCATGTCTATAACACGTTTTGCTGTGATACTGGGTTGTCAGGTCATACCCCAAACATCACCCCTCCACCACTGCCTGACAGTTGGTAGGAAGTGTTTGTGCTGATTTGCTGACACGGTGCTGTGCATTAAGCAACATTGTCCCAGAAATTATGTCTTTGTTCAGATGCAACTTTGAAAAGCTAAGCAATGCTGGCATGTTCTTTTAGGAGAGATGAGATTTTCTCCAGCCCTTCCAAACAAGCCTTACTAGTTCAGCCTTTTTCTGTTATACTGTCATTAAATTTAACCTGCTAACTAAGATCTAACCCAAATGTAGACGTGGGTTTTTTGTAGTTTCTCTGAGTATTGTCTGACCTTTGGGCTAGTCTGCTGGGATGTCCACTCCTGGGAAAATTGTAGTATTGTGTTAACACACACCAAGATCCTCCACACTAACAAAATGCCAAAACTAGTGGTCACACTTTCTGATAATCAGTTAATTAAGTGCATTTAATTAGCAGGACCTAGCTGCTACTGACCCTCAGTTACTGCTCAGTAATGATGCTCTTTATTTTTCATGGGACTACGAATAAAACTTTCTTTTTCACATGATTGCAGCTTGAGCCAGTTTGTGAAAGTGACCTCTTTGACCACTCATCTTAAATCATTTTTTTATAGTTTAAATTTGTCTCATTTTGGAAAAGCAAGTGGGCATCAGTATTCAGTTAATGCTCAAAATATGCAGATACATAAACAGATATTGGCATGTCCATAAGCAGTAGAATCAATGTTTACATGCTGAACAGATGGCTGGAGCATAACTGACTTGTAATGCTATTAATTTAATATTTGCTTGACATTTTTGCTGCAGACGTGAACACGCAGTGTGGACTTTGTCCTTATGGTGAGTTATCCATGGTATCAAAACAAATAACTCTTGCTGCTCATTAATTTTGTCATGTGAAAAGCTTTCAAATCAGATTTTTTTTTTTAATTTTTAAATTTTGAATTATTGCCTTTATAAATTTGTGGAATGTTAAAATTAACCATGAAGTCCTTGAAGATACTGAAAACAGTAGCATGAGGTTTTCGCTTGAAGGCAGTGATACTCTTTAAACGTTTCTGTAGTGGTTTGGGGGACAAAAAAAATAAAAAAAATAAATAAAAAACCCAGGGGAAAAAAACAAAACAAATGTGGCATTCCTGGACAAAAATAGATGGTCTTTTTATTACATCTATGAGCAGGGCAGGCTGTTTGCTTAAGGGCATGGGGAAAACTTTGACATTTAAGACCAACATTCCCATGATTCACATTATGTGGTTTGTCTGGTAGATTTACTGGAAGAGATTAGGATAAACTGCTATATAAGGAATACTTGGAGATTAAAGACAAAGAAAACTAGAGAATAGAGGCCTAGTGAGACAAGGGGACATAATAGAAAGTCATGCCTTCATTATCAGCATTATCTGCTGTTTTCCTCGGATATGTCATGTTTAAACATCTACGGATACTGTATGTAAACCCTTCTATGTGCTTCTGCAATTAATGAGCAGATCAGAGGGAGCTCACGGTGAAAGATTGTCTAACAGAAATTAAAAAGATGAGTCAGTTACGTTTTCTCAGTGTGTGCACGGTGATTCTTTTCTTATTCAGCTCGCTGTAGCTGCTGCTGATTAAAAGAGGTTGCAGCACACGGGTGACTCCAGCTACTGTGGCAGTCTTGCACAAATTTGACAGCCAATTTATTTTGCTACAGTCTTTTAAAACACCCGTGTGAAATGCCACATTTAGATTGTAGTGGCTCTTTAGCTCTAAAACTTCATCACTGCATATTTTCAGGAATTTAGAGGTCTGGCATATTTGCATGCTTTTATGAGTTATTAATATTTTGTTTATGAGCTTTGGCCTTTATGATAAATTTGCACACACATACTGTATTCTGTGTAATCTCCTGCAATCTACTTCTACTTTACTATTGTGGTATGATGACCTGTTATAGCTTGTTCAATAAACTCAGACAACACTGTAAAGACGGTGACTGCACTAACATTTTAAATTGAGCTTGATCAGTTTAAGAGACCTGACATAATCTGATCAGGAAGTCAAATTTGTACAGCGTTTAAAGCTCACATAAAACCATAAATCCTTTGATACTGAACTGAATTTTTACCTCACATGGTCGTAAATGGTTTTTTTTACACGAACAACTTTTACTTTGTCGGAGTGGGAGAACTGTAGCGAGCGCCACTCCTTCGTCGTGCCCTGACACTCGGGTCGCATGAAGTCATCCAGCAAACTCATGTTCTTCTTCTTCCTCCTCTGCTTTCTTGTCCTTCCCACGCACAGTGACTTAATCGCTAGGTCTGTACACAGCATTTCGTGTATGGCAGGTTTGTGTCTGCCACTACACTACCCACTCACTAAATCTCCCAGGGAGATGTGGTATGCACACACCTCCAGACTGGGGCTCCTTCCAAACTCACTGAATACTTTCAGCTAATTGCCCTCGCTTGGTGTGCTTCACAGTGATATGGTCAGCTCATCTTTTGCCCTTTTGGTGAATAATTCAATTTACTGGAGGCAGTTTTGTCTTATGACAAGACATGATTGTTTCAAATTTTTTGATTCAATTTGCTTTGCATTGGATTTAAGTAGGATAGATGACACAGATGGCAAGGACCTTTGAAAACTGCCACAGCATTTCGCGAGATAATGCCTACCTCCATCCTTTTTCGTGGCTTCTTTTATTCTTTTCCCACTCCTTCTAGAAGCTCTGCAATTAAGAAAGCCTTTAACTTTCAATCCTGATGCTTTTGTATAAAGTCTTTGTTCTGCTGCCACATCAACAGCAGCAGTAGTGGGAGGGACCCTTAAATGATTTTTCAGGTTAATTATTATTTCTCCATGACTTAATCATCGTGGGAGAATAAAGGTGTTGGAAGATTGGTGCTATAGTAAAGCATTGTTCAAGATCAGATTTGCTGAATTCTCTATGCATCATCTCAATAAAAATACAGATGATAAATGTTTAAGAAGACAGCTTGGCACAGTTTCAAATGTCAAAATGCACAGCATTTATTGTAATATCATCACAAACGTATTAGCAAAATTCAGACACAGTTTTGACAAAAATAAATAGATTTTTTTTTTGCCTTTTAAAGGCTTCATACTGTCACAGTAAAGTAAAAACACAACATCCTGATTAGTCAGTGTTGTCTTACAACACAGATATCGCACAGCCACTCATATGACATGAGCTCAAATGTTAATTACACATTACTGAATAGCTGCTACCACATTCAATAACATTTCACCTTGTGCTGCCTTACGCAACCAAATAACGAGGTTGTATTACAAAATAAACGTTACTTACAAAACGGACTACTTAACAGGATTAAAATCACACACTTTACCATAACACAACCATTGAGAAAAGTGTTCCCTCTGTTGAGTTGTGATTCAATCAGAGACTTCATAGGCACTTTAGAAGTCAGGCCTCACAGTTATACTGTACAGTATTTTCAATAAAACTATCAGTGTGGTGCAACACAACTTTAAAATATCATCTGCTTTAAATGATTCCATGAACACATGAAGTATTTAATCCAGCTTTCTTCATCATGAGTGAGGTCAGAGGTTATGCTTGAATTTCAGTCAAGACATGCAGCCATTCGCTTTAGGTGGAACACAACACTTTGAGCATCTTTTTCCAAACAATATAACTTATAAATACATCGATTTGAGGTAATCAGATACTTCTGTTCCTTCGTTCTGCATTTTGGAGATGGGGCGGCAGTCTTGTTCACGTGCGCTGCAGTTTGTGCCTTTGAAACAGTCACTAGATTACCATGCCACAGCAGTCTAGGTATTTCACACAAATTTACCAGAATGCTACAAAGCTATATCACAAAAAACAGGTCCAAGACCTTTGCAGAAAAAGATGTACACTTGTATTAAATCCTCAATGCCATTAAAGTCTACAAACATAGACCTCCCCACAATAAACCTACTCTATTGAGAGTTAACAAATAATAATTGAAAAACATATCTACAGTAAGTAGCACTGTGTGACATGCTTCTTGTAATCACGAACATGGGTATCTGCTGTAAATAAAGAGATGTCACTGTCAATAACGGTCAATGCATTTTTGCATTCAGGAATACAGATGCGAAAAAAGCAGCACAATCTGAGCATTTAGCTATCTAAGTCAGAAACGGTGGCAAATTAATAAAGTATGGAGATGCGGAGTAACACATTGCTGGTTTTGGTCTTTTCATTGAATTTGTTCACAATAAAAAGTACAAAATATCTTGTCCCTTAACAAGTAATTACATGAGAAACGTTTGATATTATAATATCACTTTTTATGTTATCTCAAACTCAGAAGAAAATGTCAGCATCCAAGATCAACACTTCAGCTGTCACTGTGTTGACATTCACTGGCCGAGGGGTTTTTCGGTCGGTGGTTGGACATTGTTGGTTGCATTGGAGGAGTTGTCACTTCTCCTTGCATTGTTCTCTATCCTGAGTGAGGAGGAGTTGAACGTGCTCCTCTTGAGGACTTTGTTTGCCAGAAGGCTGCAGGTCTTCCTGTACTGGTGACGCAACAGTGAGTAGACAAATGGGTCGCTTGCTGCCTTGGTGTAGGCCAAGCATTTGGACAGCACACCCCAGTGAGAGTTTATGGGTCCTGGGATGAAAAGCTCTACAATTCTACCTCAAACAGAGAAAACATGGGAAGAAAAGTCACATACAATTGATGGACAAAGTGCAGCTTCTTACATGAGTGAAATGGAAGAAATCTACAACACTTAATGAATCTCCACCAGTGCCTCAGTACTGTGAAAATGTCATCACTTCATTTCACTTCACTGAAATGTCATCACTATGTTCGGGGAATCTGAACAGATGGCTGTGGCTTTTGTGGATTCTCAAGTTCTTGCAAATGATGATTTCTTTTTAAATTCCTATTACATCAAAATAAAGGCTAGACAAACCAGCAAGAGCATTTTTTTGCACTTGTTATTAACAGCAAGTGCAAACAGTGAGTGCACGTTATACTGTAAAGAATTAAGTAAAGATGTAGTAGCTTAAATATTTAAAATATTATCTTACACATACAGTAGTTACTACCATCTGTATTGCTGTACTTGATAAGCTTTTGATCATTAGCTGTAGTCCAATAGCTCCTTGATGCCAGTTGTTAAAAATGTATTTTTAATCTTTTGATTCAAAATGAAGAAAAATGTACGAAACCTTCACATCTTCTGGTGACAGTATGGTGGTAAATATCTCTCACAAACATGGATTCTGCTCCCACCCACCCACACACACATACACATCCACAAACCATGCAGCATTATACATCGCTCCTCACCTTGTAATGACATAAGGCGTGAAGCACACCATAAATGTGCCGATGAATGTACTGATTTTTTTGGTGGCCCTCTGCCTCCTCCGCTTCTGTTCATCCAAGCATTTCTGGCGTACACTGTCAAAGCACACAGGTAAGATTATCTCCCTTGTATGCATTACCAGAGACATGCAAACATAATTAAGCAGTCAAAAGAGAAGACATATGAGGCAGACTTGAAGAGAACAGTACACTGTGCACTGTTATCTAAAACAATTACATCAGAGATTCTCACACTACAGAGATAAAAAGAAAATATACAAAGAGAGAGCATTTCAATTCTGTTACTAGGAATCAAATGTGGTTATTTTATTCAATCAAATGTCCAACATTTGATTACAAATTTTGATAGACATTATCAATATGATGGACAGCTTTATAACAGCTAGTGAATCTGTAAAGATTCTGTTTGATTTAAATAAATGCACTAAATAAAGGTTTTCTTATATAGTCACAATTTGCTGACAGAATGATTTAACCTCCAAAGTATCCAAATGATTGTTTGACACACTGGATAACATAAATAACAATGGGTGGAAATGTTTTATTAAAAGACACATGTATTAAAAGGACAGGTGGATTAGAGCGAATGCATCTCTAATGCTTGTTTACCTGGGGTGGATATCCACAAGCAACACCAGTGTCTGCATAGTGATGACGTCGATGCGTTTACAGTGAAACCTCGCAACTTTGAGAACTTTGAGATATGTTACACACAGCACGATCAGCGTGAGAAGGAAAGTGAGAGAGTGCAAAACCACGGTGAAAATGATGAACTGCGTCCCGGCTCCCTTCGCTCTCACACTGCACAGCGTGCACGATGCGTAAAGGTGGTTGTAGCCGACCCAGGAACGGCAGGTAGCCACCGTGGAGAAGCAAAGTGAATGTATCCACGTGTATCCTAGGGCTATCACTGCATCCCGGTGCCGTATTCTTGAGTGGTAGCTCAGCGGGAAAACCACCGCCACCCATCTATCGATGCTAAGAGCTGCCATGGTCAACATGGAGTTTGTGGTGAGAAAAGTGTCGAGGAAACCCACAATTTGACAGAAACCGCTGCCCCCGGGGTGGCCCGTGGTGATGAGCCCGATCAGAGTTAGTGGCATGTTGGACACGCTCAGCAACAGGTTGCAAAACGTCAAATTGAGAATAAAAAGGCCGGGTACCTGTTTGCGGATCTCCGGATTGTACATAAAGCAGATCAGCACCACAACGTTGGACAGCAGCGACACGACAATAATCCCCAAAACCAGCACAGAGGCAACTATGTCCGCTGCGTCCATCATGCTTCCTCTCAGAAACCCAGACTTTTGAAAAGTGCATCCATAGTCCTGATGCGAGCTGTCATCGTGAGTTGTGGACACAACGTATATGAGTCCAACAGATGAACATGCTGCTTACCCTCACCGGTATACGAACGTCTTCATTACACGAAGCTACTCTTCCAGCAGCGTCGAAGATGGGGTTGTGGGAAATTCGCACAGAGACCGCTCACCTTGTTACTGTGGGGGAATTTAGAAGTCTTCTTTACTGGAATGGGGTCACAGTAGGAGGCTGGTTCTCTTGCGGCGCTGCGGTAGTTTTTTCAGTGGTCAGGTCACTGGTCTCACACATCGGGGGTTCCTGCTGCGCAATTGCGCACTGACATGATGGACGGCTTTTTTTAAGGACAAAAAGTGCTTAAAGCAGGCGCTGTGTTTGAGCACTTACAGTCTATTGTCTTTTACTGCCAGCGTCTGAAGCACGCTGGTGCACTCGTTCAAAAATAGCTTTTTAGTGTAAAAATAGAAGTGCGACGCACGATTACGTGGCTGGTGGTAATGCTGATGTCATAAGCGTCACGTTGAAATCTGGAGTTTGGTAATGAAATGTTTTTGTGGGGTTTGGGGAAAAAATAGAAGCTTTAAAATATTTAAATAGCTAATTGAATGTTTTGCAAGTCAGTGTGACGAGATTAAATGGCAACACTATCATCACTTTATTAACATTTCACAGCAGATACACTTTTGCCCAGAGCTCAGAAATCGTTGCGAGAACTGAGTTACCGGAGCAGTAACAGCCCAGTGTTCAAAGCTTTACGTGGTGCTTTAATTGGACGCAGTGCAGCTGGATTACATCCAGGGTATTAGTCCACAGTGCAGCAGTACCACCGCCTCTGGCACAAAACAGAACCGCGTGCATCCCCCAGCCCTGCAAAGGAAGGCACACTGTTAGAGATACTGTGTTTTCAATAGATCAGCAGTGTGTGTGTGTGTAGTGTGTGGTTAAAGATCTTGAATTAGAAGACATTTCGGTTCCTTCCTGTCTTCTTTACAAGATTGTTCAAGGTATATTTAAGCTTTACAATTAGAAATGCGTTTAGATTATATCTGAAGTTCAGCATTTAAAATGGTGATTTGGAAGTAAGGGAATAGTGAATTTATGATGTACTGTATACATCATTTGCCATCTTTGTGAATTAAAAAATAGTCTTGTTTGAGTTCAGAAAAGCACATAGGTATTAAAATATAGAAAAGATGACCCACATAAATGCTTTCTTGTTTATCAATGGTTGTAAATAATGGCAACATTTTTACATAAAGGTAGATCAAATTGATTTCAGTGAAGATTTAGAGGTTTAAAAAAAATACAAAGGAAATACAAATGTGAAAAAGTGCACAGTAGAGTTCTGCTTAGTACCTATATTATGCTGATAACAGTGCACTATAGGTCTGTACAGATATCCTTCACTACCCATACATTTGAAATATTATTTTACTTTATCGCTGTCCCTCACTATCACTAATATATGTGTGATAGTTCTTTTCTATCTATCCAAAGTAGTTCAAATGCAACATGATGCCTACTTTTGAATGCAGAAAGTTCAGCTTCAGACATACAACAAAGAATTAAATATTCATGCAGTGTCCTCTTTTCATTTCAGTTAACAGCCAAACGAAAAAAAAAGAAAAGATAATGACATGTTTAGGCTACAGCAGTCTTTGCAGTGAAGCACAAAGTTAATGGCTCTACAGATTTACCCTATTATGTGAAAATGTTCACACTGAATAATATGGTACAAGGCTGACAACTGTGCAGAGCACTGAAAGGGAAAATATGGTGTATTCTTTACAAATCACTAAGTGTAACTAGATCAGACTAATGAAAGTGGTGAATAATGAGTTGCAGTGATTATATGTTGTATGTGTTTTGATACATGCTAAATCTTATGTCAAGGGTGAATCAGGGAGGTCAGACAACGAGAACATTTAACATCTTTGTCATGCTGCAGTTACTGTGTTGTATTAAATTGCTGTTACAGTCTGAAAAAAAAAACAATCTCACACTACAAACCTGTAGACTGTTCATGTGACAAATGTAATTTGTGACCATCGCATCAATATTAGTCATATAGCAGTTTCTATTTTCACATATCCATTAAATACACAGTATAGAGTCATTAACCACTGTCGCCATCCACCACACATGTGAGCTCTTTGAACATTTCAATTAACCTGTTCAGTGAGACCGGCACAGTAAAGGTGCAAATTAAAATTACTAATTTCCACAAAAATCATTTAACTCAGATTAGCTTCAGGGCCAAAATTAAAAGCTTGGATTTGATGTATGGTGTTTAATTGAAAAAGATTTCCCCACTGTCCAGCTACAAGGTGAGAAGCCAGTCTATTTGCTAGAACAGTGGTCACATGTGCAGCTGTCTAGCCATCTTATAAATTAAAGGTAATGACAAATATCTAGCAGGGCACTGATTTTTTTAATTAATACCACAGAGAGAGAAGTTTTTAACTTTTTCATACAGGAGCAGATGGTAAGTCCACAAAGAACATCAATTTTCCCTGGTGCTCCCAAAGCCAAGATAAAGTCCAACTTCATTTTCTTACACAGACTGAGTTAATGAGGTGAGAGGTTACAGCTCCAAATGGCCATACAAAGAATCACCCAATGGTCTCTGCAGACACTAGAAGTCAGAAGTAATTTCTAAAACCTTTGATTTAGTTCAATTTTCTTCATTTGTGTTCAGACTGACCAAAAAAACACAAAGGATTAAATCCATGCTTTCATTTTGTTTCTGTTTGAAAATACCTTTCTCTGGCGCCATCCAATGGTAGGAATAGAAAAAGACACCACGACCAGACAGCGTGAACACAAGATGAGCGTGCTTCAAGCAACAGGTAGATGGCTGTGTGTGTTAAATCATTTTAAATCTGCTGTAATACACAAACAAACATTAAAGCAGCACAACTGAAACAAAAGTCGCTCTTGTGTTGACAAAGTGCTTCACAATGTTTGGCTCTTCCTTGCTGGCGTGTTCAGCCGCATTAATGCAGGTGTCTTCATTCATGCTAAGGTCGCATTTGACCTGATAATAATAATGCCCCTGGTTTCGGAAGGCTTGGTTAATCATTGAGTAATATGCTAACGCACACCAGAAGTTTTCTCGTGTTTGCTGCCGATATCTGTCTCTAAGGTCTTTTCAAATGAGTCGTTTAAGTGTCTGTTGCTGTTTAGATGCAGTTTGTGATTGGTTAATGGCTTTGCTATGTTTTCAGGCGATGTGGTGCCTGTTCAGTTGTTGTGTGCGCATTCAAACTGTGTGATTGTTGCTATCCACAGTGGTCAATTGTTATCTTCTTTTAAATATTCGCTTTTGCATCCTGCTTTATCGCTAGATTTATATATTTATATAATATTACTGTTTTTAGAGATTAATATAAGGATGAGGCCTGGTTGCAAATACCGTGTTTGGTTCTGAATGTGTCGCTCTCATGAACTTACATTAGTATTTTGGACATGTATGCCTTCTCACCCAGTATTATTGAGTTCCATCTCGGATGAGAGGGGCTTGCTGGCATTCAAATCACAGTCTGGAGTTCATCCACATAGGTTGGATGCATCACAGTGTAGAATATTAATTTTGAATTTGAATAAGGTCAGTATCCAGCGACAGCAAGCTTAATGCCACATGGGACACCGTGATTTAAGCCTGTTCTCATCAATTTACGTTCTCTGCAGGCGGCCTTGTTTGTTTTCGTGTAGTTATATGAATCGACTAATTAAAACTGACTGTGCCATTGGTTTGTCTGCTTAGCTGGACATCTCCTGTGTCCATCTGCACAGTTACTGCTTCGTCACACCGAACATGCTACTGGCTAAAGGAAAAAAAACTTGATGACCTTTAAAGGAGAATCATAACATTTCCCATCTCTGTATATTTTTAGGTCAGTTACTCAGTACACCTGTGCTCCCTCTCAGTGTGCTGCCTTCTTCAGATGTTGGATTGCTTTCATGTTGAATTTACACTTCATGCAAAGCTCTGGTTTTAATATTGGCTAAACCTCAAATGGCTGGTTGTTTCTTGGCTGTACATAAATTGTTGCAGCCATTCCAGGCTCCGTTAATCATACCCATCGCCCATCTGCTTTGATGTCCTTTCTCTGGTAATGAGTGTAACATCGCTGTACACAGCCGCGACAGTAAGCAGCTTCCACTAGCCTTTTAAATGAAGTGCTGGGTAAGTTTTAATGAGATGTCACGATGGTACATGTCAGGACCTTCATAATCTGGACATATGAAGCTTTGCTTTATCCTTCTGGTCTCCCCTAGCACCTACAACTGTGTGTGTGTGTGTGTGTGTTTGCTCGCTCCTAACCTTCAGTTCTTATGGCAATTAAAAATTGCCAGAAAAAAATGCCTGACTGCAGCCCGAACTGGCTCTTTTGTATTTTCAGGCTGTCTTTTGTTCTTCTTCTCTGTTTGGAGCCATATCACTTTTTTTAAGCACAGTTTCATTTCCACATAAATTGCCAAACTGCTAGACAATGTCATGGTTCATCCTTTTGACAGAGAAGTGCACAATTACATTTCTGCATTTTAATATCTATAGGTGATGTCTTAAGTTCAATACTATAAGTTCAATATTCTGACTTGATAATGCACATAGCAATAGAAGTAAAGGGTTAAAGTGGGGATATGTTTTTCTCTTTTTTAGCTGCAGAAAGCTGCAACAGAAAACATATAAAAATGAATATAACCTTGAGAATGTTTCAGTTCAGGATACTCAGACAGTTAATGTAAACTCATTTTCTTTGTTTGCCTCTCTGACCATAAAAGCTATTTTTGTTTAATAGCTGAACAATGTGGTTCCTGAAACATATTAAACTCAATTATTTTAAATAATGATGTGGAGGATTGGAAATGTCGGCGTTCACATTAACAGTAAAGTGGGGTTTGTTTAAAACAAAAGCCGCCTCTGTTTTCTGAGACGACTGAGGTGCTTTAACATCTGTTTGCTCGGGATGTTTTATGAGGTTGTGGTTGCCAGCGCCATCCTCTATGTAGTGATGTGCTACGGCAGCAGACTGAGCGCAGCGGATTACAACAGACTCAATAAACGGATTCACAAGGCCAGTAATGCTGTGGGTGTGGAGCCTGGCTTTCTGACAGAGGTTTCAGAAAAGAGGATGCTGTCGAAGTTATGGTCAGAATTGGACAATCCTTCACATCCTCTCCATTTTGTGCTGAACAACAACAGGAGCATGTTCAGCAAAAACTCCTTCCACCACAATATGTCGGAGGAAAACATTTTTTAGTTTTCAACCTAAATTTTCATTTGGATTGATTGTTTGTCATTGCGATGTCACTATATCTACTTCTATGGGTAGAGCGAGAGAAGTGTCCATGATAGGAGTGCACACCTTTTCATTTACCATTAAGGCTGCTCTACTGGTCCTTTCATATCGTAAGCACCACAGTATGATAAATGACTGTGGATACATTTGTTTGCTTTCATTAGATGCTCATCTTTATGTTTCATTGGGATGGCATCAGACAAAAGTTCCATTGTCATCTCTGCGCCCATTCCAGATCATCCACAGTACACAATTGCTTCTCTTTAGCTCTACAAGATTTCCGAGAATGCTTTGACAGAAATTGAGTGCTGTTTCTGTTTCTTCTCTTTTGTTTTCCTTTTTTGCTCATTTCCTATTTTCAGGGAATCATGTTTAAATTTTTCTGTCCTTATGCTTTGCTTTCTTCCCATACATTTTCCTTTTATAACCTTTCTTTTTTTGTATTTCCTGTTTAACTAATCAATATCTTTTGTCCCACCTATGATGGATTTCACTTTTAAACAAGATGTAAAATCCTTTCCATTGTGTCAACTCGTATATCTCTTGTTGAGACCACA